TACGCTTCTGTGTCTTTCAAGTTTTCCTGATAGCTTTCTGCTCACTTTCCCTCAGGCGCAGAAAAATATAAGCACAGTTCAAAGGTGTGTAACTGGGTAAGTTAGGAGTGGTGACCCAAAGATAAAAAAATCTGTCTTCTGAAGAGTATGACAACTCTTAGAAGGTTGTATTAGAGACAAGTCTAGGAGGCCAGCTTTTGTTACACGTGAAGTAAATTGTATGTGCTTTATGATCCTTGGCCTGGCATCTAGACGAGCTACTTAACCTTTAAATGCTTCATTAGTTAACTAAAGGTGATGGTATTCCTACCTTTGAAAATATTGGTAGCTATGATGATATTTGTTTTGCCTTACAAAAACTTCTCTTGCCCCCACGTTGTTTGCATAACAAAATTTTCTGTATTAGAATCCATGGAATCGTAGCATTTTTGAACAGAAATAGAACTTGGGAGATTTTTTGGTCTTCTAACATTTTGTATATGAGGAAACTTCTGCAGAAAGGAGAAAGGAACAGTTCTTGGTCTTTAGAAGTAGATTTGAGTCAGGTTCAAATCCTGGGCAATACTAAGATATTTTATAGCACAGCTTCAAAGAGTACCAGCCTCCCAGAGTTAGACTTCGTGGGCTTTAATTCTGGCTCTAGAGACTCACTACTTTGCCAGCTGTGAGACCTTGAGATAATTATATTAAGCTTTCTTGAATTCCGCCTGATAGGTTGTATATAAGGACTGAAAATGCATATAAACCACCAAACATATGTTATTATTATGTGATAGCTGTGTAATCTTCCAATTCTTATTTGGGCCCCGGTTTCCTCATATGTAAAAAATGGAGATCATACTATCTCCTTGGGAGTTTGGATGGATTACATGTAAATAAAACATCTAGTATGGTAGCAGGCACTCAATAAATTGTAGCAACGGTAATATTATTCAAGAAAAGCCAGTACCAGAACTTGTATCTCAGCTCACACTGCTGTGAATGCTGAGTTGTACATTTTTGTAGCCCCCTTTTATTTAACCCTATTTAACATTTTATATCACCTTCACAAATTTTTGGGACAAGTGAATAGGGAATATGAACTACCACATTTATTTTCTAATTAGATAATGCTACATTTATTATCTAATTAGAATCCTTGTTTTTATTACTTTATCATATTTTATTATTTTATTTATTACATTTTTAATACATATAATTTCTCACACTATTTGTCATAGTGTCAGAAATTTTAGGATGAAACTAAGAATGATAAACATAATTCCAACACATCATTATTATGTAATTATGGAGCCAAAGGTAAACAAGAAGTTAAGGTGACTTTATCCTAAATCTGCTAGCAGCTATCAGTGCAGTTACTGGGGGTTTTTCCCCCATATTTGTCTTGGAGAACGAGAGAATCATCAAAATCAGAAGCAGAAACAGCTCCCAAAGTACAATAAAACAAAAATGCAAAGACAAAAAAAAGAAAAGCCCAAACCAGAATGTCATTCAGAGAGATAATGTGCAGTCAATATAAAAAAGTTGTGATGGGCTTCCTTACAAGGAAGGAAGAGATGGTCAAAACAATGGATATGTAGGTAGAATAATGAACATGAAAGTGCTCGTGATCTTCAACTTCTGGTGTGAATCAGTATCATTGTGGCCGCCTCTGCATTCAGTATGGTGCCAGGTGCCGGGGGTTACAGAAGTAGATAAAACTTGTTCTAAATCAAGGTGAGTTTCGTATAGCTTCTCTAGAGTACCCATACATCTAAATGCTCAAATATTTGAAATCTCATCCACTTGAGTTTCTTTCAATATTTGCTTTCTAAAGGATTTTTTTCTTTTCATATATTAACTTGAAAATTATTCTTTGGAAGTTAATTAGTTCTGATAAAACCTATTTTGCCTTAATTTTAAGTGCCATTAGAAAGAATGATTACCTAAAAGTAGGAATGCAGGGAAAAATCCTGAAGGAAATACTGTGTTTTTTCCAACCTAAAAAGGATCACCATATTTTATAACAAATGTGGTTAGCAAAAACTCAAATTAGAGGATAATGTTCCTATCTGGCCCTCCAAGCCTACTGTGGACCACTTTCCCCTTGGAGCACCATGGCCTCCTTTCCCCGTCTCAAAGCCTTTGTGTCCCTCCGCCCCATCCCCATGCTCTTCTTTGGGCCCCTCACTACCAGCTCCTTCTCATTCTCCGAGGCACAATTTGAATCTCATCTTCTACAGAGAAAGTTTCCTAAAGTCACCCAGTAAGTACCTCACTCTTCCCACTGTTTGCTTAGTTGTTAAGGAGAAGCTGATGCCAGACCGCGTGCCAAGGGTGGGCACTGTTTGGCTTAAGCCCATCAGCACATTCTATTCCCTTTGGCCACAGTCATTGGCTCAGGGTGGACACGTGACCTACACAGTCCAATCAGGTGATTCTCAGTGTTATTGCTTAGAGCACTGGGGTGTGACTATTACCTGTGTGCCCCATTCCATCTCCCTTGCCTTCCCTCAAGCCCCATTATGTAAGGTTATGAGACCTCATGATTACAACCGACCTTACTGCCATCCAGAAAAGGAAGCTGGATGTAGATACTTGGATAGAAATTGGAGCCTAGGCATTAATCCAATTCTGAGACTCACCCTACCTCTGGATTTAAATGAAACCATATTTTTCCTTACTGTGTAAGTCAGTTTGAATTGGGAGTTTCTGTTATTCGCAGCTAAAAACATCCTCATTTCCTCAGCAAGGTAGGTCTTCCTTGACTATATTATCAAAAGCATCTTCTGGTTATTCTCTATTGTTATCCATTTATTTCCTTTACCATCTATACCACACTCTGAAATTATAGTGTTTATTTAGTTAGTTAGTTGTTTATTTACCTATTTCCTCTCTTTAAATTATATGGCTCAGGAAGTCAGTGATCTTGTTTTTCTTCTTCACAGTGCCATAATAGATGGTCAATAAATATTTGGTGAATGATTTGGATGATAGAAATATATCACAAACTTATTGGGGAAAAGGGACATTTGTCAGCTCTCCTCTAATACAGGGTTTCTCACGCTTGACACTGTTGACATATTGGGCCAGATAATTCTTTGTTGTGTATGGGCTGTCCTAGAGTGTTTAGCAACACCCCAAGCCTTTACCAGTCGCAGAAAAAGGCAAAAGTGTCCCTGATTGAGAACCACTGCTATAATATCTAAAAGATTTTATTTAAGCTTAACTGGCACAAATAGAGCATAGATGTTTTTGAGAGAAAATAGAGTGATGTTTGATTCCGAAACCAGAGGCTAAGAGATGGAAGAACAATAACCTCACTATGAATAAGACAGCCAGCTCCATCCTGTGTTCCATCCAGTAGGTGAGGAGGGATGGTGTGTCTGCCACTTAGCTACAGGACATGCTTGCTGTTGTGAACGCCTGCCCTGCCCATTCCAAGGAGTTGATTTTGACTGTGATTGAGAAGTACTTTTGTGACTATAAATTAATTCAGACAAATATATGTAACTCACCATTCTTCTTTGCCTTAGTTTTCTCACCTATAAACTATTAATGAGAATTCCTCCTCTGTTACTGAAAATTATAAAGCAATTCTTATATCTATGGTTACCTTAAGCATTCTATGATAGTAGAAATAAGAGATTTCATATTTGGATAATCGGGATCTTTGTTGCCGTACATAATATTCTGATTTTTCACCCTGAAAGCTAAATTTGTAGGCCAGAAATAGATTCCTCTTTTTTTTTCTCTTTTGTTTCTTCAGCACATGTGAGAAAAAGGAAAGGAAGAAGAATTAGTATCCTGTGTCTTCTCTCTTCTGAGCTATAATGGGGTAAATTCAAAGTCCTTGTACATAAAGATGAGTCATTTCACTACAGACTATTTGGATTTGCCCTGTTGAAAGAAAGCATCTTCATTTCAGTGGGAAACAACCACCAAAGTGTTACTGTTTTTGTTTTTTTATGAATCAGATTCTGAGACCAGGATGTGTCTGAGTTCCAGGGATGTTAGCATTTTTATGGATGCTATTGTTAGATGGCACCTTAGGTTCATGGAACCAGTATATGTATATTCAGTTTCCCAAATGAATTAATAACCCAGTCAGGAGGGTGGGAGTGCTGGAATAAAGAACATGTTCAGGGCGCCTGGGTGGCTCAGTTGGTTAAGCGACTGCCTTCGGCTCAGGTCATGGTCCCGGAGTCCTGGGATCGAGTCCCACATCGGGCTCCCGGCTCAGCGGGGAGCCTGCTTCTCCCTCTGACCCTCTCCCCTCTCATGCTGTTTCTCTCTCTCTCTCAAACAAATAAATAAATAAAATCTTAAAAAAAAAAAAAAAAAAAGAACATGTTCAGGATTTGTTTTCATTGGGCAAATTGACCTGTAACTTCATCTGTGCAGAGTGAAATGAAATCCCTCTTTCTAGATCCTTCAGGAGAGTTGGCTACTTGATTACAAAGTCAGATCTCAGCAAAAATGGATATAATCACAAAAGGTCAGTTGTCTAATGGTGGACAGCTAGAATTGGAAAAGAGAGAGACATGAGAACTAAGAGTTGTGCAAATTAAAGTTGCTTTAATTTCCCAATAAAAAAGGAGAAAGAGCGAAAAGGAGCAAAAATTCTTGCCAATTCTGAATGATGAGGCGCTTCAAACTAATAACACATGCCTTCCAACTGCTTTCTATATCAACAAACAAAAGGCTTAAGGTATGTTATGAGTAAAGCATTGGAGAAGATGCATCCCTCCACCCTCCCACAATTACGGTTAGGAATCTGATATTGCTGACTAACAACCCTGAAACCAGCTATTTAAATTGTGATATATTAAGTCTGTTTTTCCTGAGGAAGTTTGTGTGTTGTTATTTTCCATTAAAAAAAGTACACTCCACAAATATGTCATTGCACTTTATTCTATACTTGCAGAGTCTCCCTTCTGAGAAGTTCTCCATTTGTCAACTGCTTTTAATTTTTTGACAATGTAAATTTCTTCTTTTTTGTCTCTACAGGAAGGAACAGGGTCAACCCAAAACAAAAGGTCAGGAATGTCTATAGTTCCTGACCCCTGACTTTTTATACCTGCCTCCGGCCTCCTCATTTACTTTTGGCTGTGTCTCGTATGTGGCCCTGAATGCAAATCCCTGACCTGCCTCTGCTAAGGTTCTCTAGATATGCATGTTCTATTCCTATTTGATTTCTCTTTGACCTTCCAAGGCCTGAGAGGCCTACCAGTAAAAGGCAGCCCCAGTCCTGTTTTATATCATCAAGTGCCAAGCAGTGAAAAAAGGGCCTCTTTCTCCTAGAACAAACCACTACAGAACTTTATTTCCTCTGGTCCTGCACTGGCCTTGCTTGATCTCCCAAAGGTGAAATCATTGGATATCCTCCTATGGAAGAGGAAGTGCTAACTATGCTTGTTACCCTTAGGGGACAGAAATGAAAGAAGAGGACATTTTTGTTCCTTGGGAGTACAGGAAGCCCCACCCTATGACTGTGACCTATGACCTGTCCTTGAGGATCACATTTATCCTTGAACAGAACTCTTCCCTGGGGCAGAGTTTATACATAAGAAAATGTGGGGAGGCTTGGCAGGGATGGTGGGAGGAAGACTGTAATATTGAGGAGCACTGGGCTGTTTCCAAGAAGGATCGCAAGGACCTTGTTGACTTCTTTCAATAGCAGTGGGTGTCTAGGAAATTAATCACAATAAAATAAAACTAATATGGCCAAGACTTTGTGCTTTAAATATGTCCTACGTAATTAAAATGCCTATTAGCCTTCAGCTTGATATGCTTTTTTTCTAACAAGCTGACTTTGCACCTTGCTTATTACAGAGTAGCCCTTGTCATCACCTACAGTGGATGAGCTTCTTCAGTGTGCAAGGCCTTCGCTTTGATCAGTCCATGTCCTCAGCAAACTGAAGGGGGCGCAGCTCTTAGAACCCAGCGTGGTAAGGTTCACAGCCTGGGCGGCAGGTTTGTGAATTTGCCTTTACAGTGAGAGTCACAAGATAATCCACCAGCCTCCGTGTCTGGAGTCAGATGGATCTGGGTGTAAATCTTTGCGTCTGTAACATCCCTTGGGCAAATTACTATACCTAACCTCTCTGAAATCTTACCTGTGAAATGTGGATAAGAAATCCTACCGCATCGTGGTATTGTGGGGACCAGTTAATTCAATATATAGCATAAGCAAAGTGCCTGCCACAGAAAGGGAGCAAAATGGACAGCAGTTATGATTGTTACTGCTTTGGTTAATCTCTTTAGCTACCCACGACGCCTCCAGTTAGCTTCATTCCCCTCCTAAACCTCTCCCAGTAAGAGAACCTGCAACTCTTTACTTATCCTCACCTTTCACGGTATGCTACTTCATACTGCTTAACTGCTTAGACAATCAACCATCCAGATTTCAAAACGTTAGATAGATCTGTGTTAATATCTCTGCAGGTAATTCAAAATCAGAGAATCAGATTTTAGCAGGGAGGTTAAAATACCTCCTCTCTGTAGTGAGAGATTCTTAAGAATATTCTGAATACTACAGATTTTAACTTTGTCCATGTCCTGGAAAGAGTAGCTTTATTTTCTTTACCTTTACTTCTGTTACATAGTCTTAAAAGCCTTTTACCCACTGTTATTTTATCACACATTATGTTTCTGCTTAATGGATCGCTACAGTGATATTGTACATTTTCTAAAGGAGTAATCTAATACCAGGCACTAAATGGACTAGTCAGCCACCTGTGTTTGTTCGGCACTGGAAGTTTCCCCCAGTCTAGTCATTCACCCATTCACCCAACAAATATTTGTGGAATTCTTCCCATGGAAAGTCATTATGTAAAAGTGTTACAGTTGATTCAAAGATCATGATCAACAGAAAAAAATTTGCCTCCCTGCTGGGATGAGGGATATGGTGAGGCGGAAGTGGAAGGCTACAGGGAGGGGTAGATGAGGCCAGGGTCTGGGGGCCAGAGAGAGCTCTGTTCAAATCTTAGCTCTCTCACTGTAACTGGGTGACTTTGGGAAGTAGCTTAGGCTCTCTGAGCCTCAGCTTTCCTCTTCAGAATGTGGATCTACCATCATTCACTCAACATACATGTCCATGTGGTGCTAGGTATGTCTCCAGGTCATTTACTTACACTCTCTTGCGAAATTCTCACCACAGTGCTTTAAGTCATCTGGCCAGTAGGTCCTCAACAAATGCTATTTTATCTTCTCCTGTCCTTCTAATTCATATATTCATTTAGTAAACTTTGGGCCAAGCCCTGTGCTAGAAGCACTTTTTAAAGAAAAAAAGAGATAAAAGACCACACCTCAAGCTTCACGATTTAGTTGAGGACACAATTAATAAACAAGTAATCGCTGTAATGACAGAACTGTGCATAGATCATTATTGGAAATAGAAGTGGGACACTAGCCCAACTTAGGCCAAGGGTGCAGAATGGGGGGATAAGGTAGATACACCTGAGCTGAGGTGAGGAGGATGGGGGGAAGTACTCCATTTCTCTGCCAGAGGATGCAAATACACAGGAGATGAATGATAGCCTGTAAGGACAAGCAGGTTAGTGTTTCTGAAGTGCAAGGGTTGAAGTAAGGAATGAGCAACAATTATGTAAAAAACGTAAGCACAACAGAGTGGCACGTACTAATGACATGTTTCAAGATGGTCTCGGAATACGAAAAGGTGAGTAAGGGTTCCAAGAACCTTGTTGACTTTTTAATAGCAATGCCTTCCCAGAAAATTGATCATGGTAAAATAATACCAATATGGCCAACCCTTTGTGTTCTTAAATATGTCTTTACAAATTGCATAATGAAAATGACTATCAGCTTGCACTGGCACTGCAAGTCAATTTCAATTCTGTGCTCTTCTCATTTAGAGAAATTTGGATGCGGCCAATTCACATGGCTGGGGCTTTTTTTTTTTTTTAATTTTTTATTGTTATGTTAATCACCATACATTATATCAGTTTTTGATGTAGTGTTCCATGATTCATTGTTTGCATATAACACCCAGTGCTCCATGCAGAGCGTGCCCTCTTTAATACCTATCACCAGGCTAACCCATCTTCCCACCCACCTCCCCTTTAGAACCCTCAGTTTGTTTTTCAGAGTCCATCGTCTCTCATGGTTTGTCTCCCCCTCCAATTTCCCCCCCTTCATTCTTCCCCTCCTGCTATCTTCTTCTTTTTTTTTTTCTTAACATATATCGCATTATTTGTTTCAGAGGTACAGATCTGTGATTCAACAGTCTTGCACAATTCACAGCACTCACCATAGCACATACCCTCCCCAATGTCTATCGCCCAGCCACCCCATCCCTCCCACCCCCCACCACTCCAGCAACCCTCAGTTTGTTTCCTGTGATTAAGAATTCCTCATATCAGTGAGGTCATATGATACATGTCTTTCTCTGATTGACTTATTTCACTCAGCATAACACCCTCCAGTTCCATCCACGTCATTGCAAATGGCAAGATCTCATTCCTTTTGATGGCTGCATATTCCATTGTATATATATACCACATCTTCTTTATCCATTCATCTGTCGATGGACATCTTGGCTCTTTCCACAGTTTGGCTATTGTGGACATTGCTGCTATAAACATCGGGGTGCACATACCCCTTCGGATCCCTACATTTGTATCTTTGGGGTAAATACCCAGTAGTGCAATTGCTAGATCGTATGGTAGCTCTATTTTCAACTTTTTGAGGAACCTCCATACTGTTTTCCAGAGTGGTTGCACCAGCTTGCATTCCCACCAACAGTGTAGGAGGGTTCCCCTTTCTCCGCATCCCCACCAACATCTGTCGTTTCCTGACTTGTTAATTTTAGCCATTCTGACTGGTGTGAGGTGGTATCTCATTGAGGTTTTGATTTGGATTTCCCCGATGCCGAGCAATGTTGAGCACTTTTTCATGTGTCTGTTGGCCGTTTGGATGTCTTCTTTGGAAACACATGGCTGGGGCTTTTGAAAGCATGATAGAATCTGGGCTGGTTCACATAGTTGGTTGGTGAAACCAGGACTAATACTAAAATGGTGCTTTGTGTCCAGACTGCTTCTGGAGGCAGGTGACCCTCTGCTCTCCTGACTTGGGCCGTTCACTATGCAACTGCCCCAAACCCAGTAGCCACTCCAAATAGGACCAGTGAGAATTCGACTGGCTCACTGCAGACAGAGCACCACCACAGGAGGGAGGGGTGGGGGGAATCATGAAAAAGAAATCTCTGTTAAGGCACCTGTGGGCTAAGAGTAAACCCAAATATATCCGAGACTATAGGCGCCAAAGTGTGAATAAATTGTAGAAATGAAAATGCTTATGTAGAGAGTAAGAATCCTAGAAAGGTGAATTTATTCTCTTTGCCACCCAGGGGAGCCAGAGACTCATGAAATTCTTATATGAAGCTGCCAAAGTTAAGAGCCAGGGCATAGAAAAGCAGTATTTTAGTTTGAGCTTTTGCAGTTGCAGGCAACAAAACAACCAATCAACCACCAACAAAATAAAACTAAAAATGGGAATTTGTTGATTCACCCAACTTGGAAGTTTTGGGGTGCATCTGATTTAGGCTCAGCCATATCCAGGTGCTCCACTGAGCTTATCAGGACCTGTTCTGTCTTTCTCTATCCAACTCTCAGCTAAGCTCTGCTCTGTGTCCCTTTCCTTCGTCATGGGGATAAAACCAGGCCCTGCAGCTCCAGGTGGACAAGGTACTTACAGCTCAGAAGAGGAGAGCGAGGATAAGCTCCCAAGGCCCCTCAGAGCTAGGTACCTTCTATTTCATCCTCATTTTACAAGTGAGAGTACAGCGCTGCTGGATTAAGTGATTTCCCAAAGGACAGCTGGTAAGTGGTGGAGCCATGTGTTACTTAAGGAAGTCCTTGCTTGATTGAAAGGGGCAGGAAAGTACAGGAGAAGTTGGGGGAAGGCATTGGCTGGCAGGCTTGGGTGATTGAGGTAGTGGGTGTGGATGTAGGCAATGAGAGGAAACAGAGCAGAGTGCTTCTAAATAATTCCTTCGCTTTGCTTCCAGCACAGCCTAAGCCACAAAATCCGTCCCAGGCGAGGCTCAGAGAGTGGAACAATGTTCATCCATTAAAGGCACAGGTTACTATATCTGGCGCTGGGCAGTGTGTAGGGATGGAACGGGGTGAGGTTTCTGGAGTGTAGCCCGGGATTGTACTCCCCGCTGTCTGATCTCACACAGAGCAGATCCTAACCCTCCCATGGGGAAGGGGCAAAGAGGGTCTGGAGCAGCTCTCAGATGTTGAGGCTGAGTTCCAAGGGGCTCTTCTACCATCTGGGGCCTTCAGCCTCCAGGTACTCCATTTCCTTGCTAATTGAGACCAAGCTGCTAAATCTTGCCAGAAAGGCTCCCTTGAGTCCGGTAGGGGTGAGAAGGGCCCAGGGAAGTGAATCTCAGAGCCAGTGAGGGCAGGGAGGAGGCTGACTGGAAGAACTGGGGATTAATTGCATTTGGAGAAACCGTAAACTATGAACTGAGGTCTCTAGCAAGCAAGGGTTTGTGGCTAGAAAAGTGGGCATTCCAGTTTCTCCTTGAATTAAGGGCAATGTTCAGGATTGTACTAGGTAATTGGAAATGAGGTAACGCCCAGAGCACGTATGAGCTGGAACAGATGAAAGCTGAAGCTGGAGGAAGCCAGGCCTTGCCCTTGAAAATTTAATCAATCTGTGACTTGACTCTAGTTATTGTAGGATCATAGCCCAAGCCCTACAGTAATTGGTTTTATACTGTTTGGATTTCTTAGCTTTCTTTTCATTTTACCTAAGAATTTTAAAGCACTGTATTCTGTTTTAGTTGTGTTTAAAGGAAAAAGGAAAAAAAAGAAAGAAAAAGGACACACATACAAAAGAGATTTTTGTGAGCTGTGTTAGGGTTGATAATATTTGGATAGCACCTAGCATCCCCAGGTCCTGTCCTGTCCTTGAGTTTCTACAGAGAACAAAGTCAGGCAAAGGGGACCCTATTACTGAGAGGCTTTTGCCTCAAACCCCAGTGTACAGATCTCTTGGAGGTGAAGGAGATCCTTTTACTTAGGCTACTGGCAAACCTGAGGGTCATCCTGGGCTTTTCCTCCCTGGATCCACACACATTTACTGCTCTGATATTCATTCATTCAACAAACATTCATTAAGTGTCTACTACATGCCAGGCACCGTTCTAGGCACTTGGTCTTCAGCAGTAAACAACATACAAACAACCTTGCCCTCATGGAGCTTCCTTTCTAACAGAAAAAAAAAAAAAGAAAAACTGATGGGTATAGTAAGTACTGAGGATAACTAAAACAGAATAAGGAGGGAACAGGTGACTCAGGGGATTGTGGATGTGTGTGTGCATGTGTGCATGCATACGCACACTTTTACCTTAAATAGGGTGGTAACAAAAGAGTAGAGACCTGAAGGAAGTGAGGGAGTGGCACCCAATATCTGGGGAAAGGGATTCTGAGCAGAGGGAAAAACATATGCAAAGGCCCTGGGGTAAAAGCATGGTTGGCATGTTTACCAAGGAGGCCACTGTGCCCTGAATGGAGTGGCAAAGGCAAAAGTAGTAGGAGAGGGGGTCAGGGAGGTAGCCGGGATCATCTACGATCACATAAGACCTTACAGGCCACAGTAAGATCTGTTACTTGCCTCTGAGTGAAATGTAAAAGCTTTTGGAGAGTTTTGAATAGAAGGGAAACATGATATTCATGATTCCCAAAGAATGATTCTAGGTGTTGCATGAAGTCTAGAGCAGCGTTGCCTGATAGAAATATAACGTGAGCCACAAAAATGAGTCATACATAATTTCAAAAAATTTTCAAGCAGCAAATAGAAACAGTTTTTTGCTTTAAAAGGCAAAAATAAACAGGTGAAAATAATTTTAGTATATTTAACTTAACCTAATGTCTAAATTATTAATGCTATAACATAAACAATATAAAAATTATTAAGATTATATATACATCTTTTAAAAAATATTAAATCTTTGAAATCTGGCATATATTTCACTCTTACAGCACCTCTGAATTCAGCAGAGTTGCATTTCAAAGGCTTAATAGCCCTACGTGGCTTGAGGTTACCATAATGTGTAACATGGGTCTATACTATAGGGGGCAAGTTTGGAAACAGGGTCACCAGTTGGGACATTCTTGCAACAGTGCAGATAGGAGATAATGGTGAGGAAAGATGACAGTAAGGACAAAAATGCACCAAGGATGAGCAATCCCAAGAAACAATAGCTTCTTCTTAGGACATAGGCTAGAACTTGCAGAATCTCGCACCCCTACCCCTTGTAGGGAGAAGGAAGAACCATATCGGGAACAACTCCATGACATAATGGAAGAGAAGAATCCAGAAGTAGACTGCTCTGGCTTAGCATTGTAATCCCTTCCTCATCACACTCTATCACCCAGCAAAACTCTACCACCTCTTGATTCCCAAATTATTATGTAGACCTTGAATATCATTTTTAGCACATTCTATATGGTATGCCCTGGGGTGGGGAGCAGAGGGAAGCCCTATTTTCCCCTTGAGGCCAGAATTTCCTCATTTGTGTTCTTGGCTTGTTAATCCCAATGTCAATGATCGGGTTGAGTCAACCATATTTCTACTGCCCTCCAGAGAGGTTAGGGGAGGATTCTGGGTGCTCTTTCTAGCATCGCATTATGACTTTCATGGGTCTTAGCCACTTTTGTCTTCATGAGCCCCTTCCCTTATGATAAAATAAAAATTATTTTACTAAAGCATTGGTAAAAAGATGACTATTAATATTATATGTGAAAACATTTTCTTCAACATAAAAGATCTTTTCTTTCTTCCAATTTTCTTCTGATTTTCAAAGAACTTTCTGAAAGAAGTTGCCTGCTGTGCCTAATGGAGTTTACTCTGGCCCCTTCACAGACTTATCCTATCTTCCCTGCACATTCCCCAAAGTCTGTAAGGTGAGTATTTGAGCCCCTCAGGCCTTTATGAGGTGGCTCCCACCATCTCTAAACTGGATCAAGATGAGATAATGTTATACCCAGGGTCATACTCTATAATAGGCTGCAAAGTCATCCATAGTTTATTTCCATGGCTAACTAAATTTGTCTGGCAGGTTTATATGGTGAGCTCAGATAGGAACCCAGCCCAGATAATACAGGGCTAGTATATAAAATAACTCAAAATTTGCATCAACATATGAAACTTCAACCCTTTTATTTTTTCCGAAAGAAAAGTTAAAGTTGAGGAGACATACAAAAGATGTTCTTTTTTTTCATTGTCCCCTATTCTTTGTAATCTGGCCAGAACAGTCACAGGTGGTCAGTAGATTCTGGATTCTTCTTCCATTGCTCAGCCTAGGCCACCTTCAGTACCTTATGTGGTAGTCACTGAGTGGTTCAACTGTGGTTTGGTTCTCCTCCTTCCAAGCACATTGTGGGATTGGGTTTTCTGTTTAAATTTGGGCATGGTGATGTGATCTACTTTGGTCAACAGAATGGTTGTTGTAGAAGTGTCATGTGTTGCTTCTTGGTCAAAGTCTTTAAGACAGAATGTGCAAATTCTTCTCTTCTCTTTCCCTGCCATGGGTCCACCATGTTGCAGATGAAGGGATGGAGGCTCCTGTCTCTTAGTGAGGACACCATAGATCAGAGCCCCTTGAGAGGGACATGTATTGTGAGCAAAATAAGCCTATTTTTTTTTAGAGTATTTGACAATGAAGCATCCCTGGGGCTAGAATATGTCCATAGTTGTATTTCTCCATTTCCAGATCTCCTTTGAGTCTTACTTTTTAAAAGTTCTCTGGGGTCAACATAAAACATAAGACCGTAACAGCATGCATTATATTGTAATATAGTTTAATCATATTCAGTGACCTGCTTGTGGCGACCTCTCCTAGAAAGGATGATACATCCTGTGCCTTACATGTGTCTGTGCAACTTCCTTTGCTCAATGAAATATGAACAAAAGTGATGTATAGTTTGCTATATTTTCCCCCTCCTCCTATGGCAACAGCTAATGTCCCAGGCAGAAGCTGTTCTGTCACCTCGAGTCCTAGAGTCAAAATGACATAGAGCAGAGGTACAGCTGACCCTTGATAGACATGTAATGTGAGAGAGAAATAAATCTTTATCATGTAAAGCCTCTGAGAGTTTGGGGGTCTTTTCTTACTGCAGCATAACATGGCCTAACCTGACAGATGCATAACCTCAAACCCATGAAATTTAGAAAACACCAGCAAATTATGGAACTGAATATTACCGTTATTGGAGAAGAGGAATTTTCAGACCTTCTCATCCTATTAGGCCTCCTTCGCCAGAGTGGATGGAATACTTTAACCCATATTTATCCTTATACTCAACTCTATTAGTACTTCTACAGAAAGAGGACTTGCTAATCTGGTGGACTAGAATTCAAGGCATTTCCTGGCCTATGCTTTGCTAGTGAGCTGGTCTTAAAGGGCAGGATGGACAAGAGGCACTTCCTTTTTTTACATTCTTCCTCCACAGAACCATGCTTCTGGGAGAGTATGTCAATCCTGCCCATTCAATTGCTTGGGCAAGTGGACTTGCACTGCTCTACAGACCCAGCCATCTAATATTTGGAAGGGAAGCCTCCTGGCCTCAACTTTATTCAGCCATATTCACCGTGGGTACAGCCTCAGCCGTATGTGTCTGGTTTAACGATAGCCCAGCAATGGGGTTATTGTGCAAGCAGTACTTTGGCTACTGTTCCTCAGGTGTGGGACAGTCAGGAATAAACCCCCAGAGGAAAGGAGAGATGAGTGATTACCCCAAACACCAACTCAAACGCTAAACACCAACTCAAACGCTAAACAACTCCTTTAAACTTACTATCAATTTCTTATCTGTAGGATTTCCCAAATAAAAGCAATATTGCCAGCAGCTCACACCATATTACTGTTTCCAAATAAAATACATTCCAAACAAAATAAAGAATAAGTGATCAGTCAAGACTCTGTATAAACAAACAAACAAACAAACAAAAAAGACTCTGTATAGACCTATTCCAAATGAGCTTTTTTTTTTTTTTTTTTGGATGGGAGTATTTGGAGGAGGGAGGGGTTATTGCAAGGACCCTGGGAAATGAAGCTATAGAACATCATGTGGAGTCAACATGCACTTACCGAGCCACCTTCCCATCAGGCAGGTGCACACCGGCTTTCCTCACAGAACTCACTTAATTATTAATATGTTAATATGTTGCCTATGTAGCTCAGCCATCAGCATATAATTTAAATAAGTAGGATGAACATTGGAGAGGACCACAACGTAATAGTATTTTTTTTTATGTAATAGTATTTTTTAAAGATTCTATTTTTAAACAAGTATTTCACAGTCAGATAATTCTCATAAGAAAAAGCACTGAGCCTTGAATGCCCAAAATGAATAAAATTTTCAGAAATGGGAATCGTGACTATTTAAAGTATATTCCTATTGGTTTTTTTCTTTGATTCAAGTCTTGCATGAATAACTGGGCTTTTGGCTTGTTTGGGAAGACTTTCACATTTGCAAATTAATGACCCAGTCCTAGCTGCGATGGTAATGTCCATATACTTCATTTCAAAAACAAACCCAGATTCTGGAATTTTTAATAGCTCCAGATCCAGGATTGGATTGCCATTTATTTGTGCTCTAAAGCATAAATCCAGGACTGACAGAAAGAAAACTAACTGAGCACAAGATCGGGGCAGTTTAAATGAAGGAAAGTGATTCACTTGACTTTAAACTGCAGTTGTTCAGATAACTCAGTCAATATACCAATTTCTTCAATCTGTCACCACTGAGAAATTATGGGAACTTGAAACTATTTATAAAAAAATGATTTCTTATAATGTTATTAGGCTAACTCAACAGATATAGGGTCTTGAAACAATTATAATAGGATGCAATAGATGCTATGAATGTGATAGAATTATGTACAAAGGAAAAAAAGAATTATGTACAAAGGATGTGACTGAAGGGGTGGGGGTAGGGACAAGGAAAAATACTAGAATTTGTTTTGTATTTTTTATCTCACATTTTAAATTTTTCTGTTTTTGTATGCTTTTAGATATATATAACTGGTATAGTGACACCCATGCAATTTATAAATAGATATAGGTAGATATGTTGCATAATCAATTGTTTAGAGAGCGGTGTTAAAGGAGAACAGAAACAGGAGTCACTTGATCTGAAGTGTGGAACTTGGGACGACTTCCCCAAATAAGCAATATCTGATCTGAGTCATACAGGAAGCCTGTGAGTTTGCCAGGCAGAAAAGTGGGGGAACCATCTTAGTCAGAAGGAAAATATAGCAGTGTTTTCTCATATGTGTGAAAGAACATGTCACTTTTGTGAATGGGATGTGCTCTGAGAGAGTCCTGTGTCCATGGTGGGATATGTGAGGGAAGGGAGAGGTAGAGCCCATGGTGGAAAGGTTGAGACCAGAGTGTGAAGAACTGAGGATGCCAAGTTCATGAACCTGTGTTTTGTCCCACAGGAAGGAGAGGAGGGGAGGAAAGAGAAGGATAATCAGACCTTTCTACTGCTCCGTTAGATCAATCTGTGCGATTCTCTTCTTGGCTATGATCCTAAGAGTGGGTCTCTCTCTGTTGGAGGAAGAAGGAATGAGAATCACTCTCTAGCCGCACCTAACACAAAAAATATAGCTCTGAACAAGAGAAGGTCTCAGGCTTTTAACAATTGGACTCTGATGAGTCCTCCAGAACTCTATAACCAAATCGATATTGTTTGTTAGCACGATATTGATCTCAGACATGTGGCTAGATAAGTATGATCTTTGAACTCAGTCTTTTTTCCACTGTTAATAGTATTTTATTCCCATTGCTAGATATCTGTCTAAAAATCACGAATAACCAAATCATGAAATTGAATTCAATAGTCTTCAGTACTTGACATTGTTGGCAACTTCTTATATTCGCCATGGGTCCTAGTTGCAAGCAACAGAAGTTACTCTGGATGATTTAAGAAAAGGGGCACAAAGGTATTGGGAAGCTCAAATAATCTGGGGAGTTGGAGGATGGACATGGGGTGAGGGCATGGAACCAGGCTTGGAGGCCAGGAAGCCAGGAATGAGTCCCCCAGTCATGCTGGAAATTGATCCATTGAATCTGCCGCCAGCCCTAGATGTTGCTGCTTCCACTGCTGGGGGCACCCACACTGGAGGAGCCTGTTGCTGCTGCCACCGTTCACTGCAGAGTGTACCTGGCAGCACCCCCACCCCAACTTCACGTTCAGAGCCTGGGCATGAGTGTCTGGTTGGCAGAGTCTAGGTGTTGCCCCTGCTTCCTAACTGCAATGCAGGGTGGGAAAGTGATCAGGCTCTGCATATAGTAAGATGAGGAATTTCCCAAATGTAGCAAAGGAACTCAGATGCTGGAAAGTCTAAAGGAAAGCTAAATGTCCACTTTCCACCTCCTTCGGAAGTGCTCCAGCTTATCTTCATGGCACTGTCAAGTCTGGTTCCTGTCCTACATGTCAGATTGCTTTGTCCCTAGCTTCTCTTCCTGCCCTTGACCCTTCAATGAGGATAACCCCTGTGGTATTATATAAAACATCCCTTGTGGTTTTCCTTAGTTCCTGGCACAGAGCTCCTAAAACCCTTCGAATTTCTTAAGTGATAAGGGTGACAGGAATTTCTTTTGTTGAGGTGTTTCTTAGGGATTCCCTACATAGCTTCATGATGGAGGCTGGTTGCCAGAAAGATCAAGCCTTGATTAGAAGCTTGGAACTTTCAATCTCAAACATCACTGCTACACCCCACCCCTGCTCCTGGGAGAAAAGAGTGAGGCTAGAGGTTGGAGATTGAGTTAATCGCCAATGGCCAGTTATTTAATCCATCATGCCTATGGAATGAAACCTCCATAAATATCCCTAAATGATCATATTCGGAGAGCTTCCAAGTCAGTGAATATATCTATGTGCTGGGAG